CGGATGGGGATGAGGGAGATGATGGGGACTACAGCGGGGAGGACGACGGCGAGGGCAGGGAAGACGAGGGCGAGGGCGGGGAGGACGACGGCGAGGGCGGGGAGGACGAGGGCGAGGGTGAGTGCGCGGAGGATGAGGGCAGGGAGGATGAGGGTGGGGAGGACGGGGACTGGCCGTACGAGAGCGGGGATTACATGGGCGGGGAGGACGAGGACTGGGAGGACAAGGGAGGGGAGGATGAGGGAGGGGAGGACGAGGGAGGGGAGGATGACGAGGGGACGGGGGGCAAAGTCCTGCTCGAGGAGTACGGCAGAAGCAAGAGCCAGAAGGTCCACAGCAAGTCCGCGCCTCAACCAACTGGGCGCCGCAAGGTCCTGGTGACCGGAAAACATGACAAAGGTAAATTGTAGCTTTAACATGACAATAAATTATGACTACACACGGAACTTACTAACAACAAGGCAATAAATTACGACTTCATATAAAAATTAATTTATGAATCACTCTCACTTTTTGTAGGGGCATTGGATGCCAGAGGGCGGCCCACGCGCCTGAGGCAACCCTCGGCGAAGGCGCGGGAGAGCCAAGAAACGGTGGGCATGGTGGTGCCTGCACGAACCAAGCGTCCACGCCCTAAGGAAACCCCACTGGTGTTGCCGGAGGACCCTTCGGCTTTCGGGGCAACAGCGTCAAACCCCGCAAAGAGGAAGGAATCGTTTGGTGTCGGTAAAGGCCGAGCTGTACAGACCCGTGGGTCTAAGGTGCAGCAGGAGAAGGGCAAGAAGGCCATGGCAGAGATTCGGAAGGGGGGACTGAAGAAGCAGCGGAGGTAGCAGACCGCGGGCAGTGATCAGGAACCTGGATTGCGCCTTGTCACGACATTTTAGCGTCACGTTCATTTTACCGTCTTTTATAATCGTCTTTTATAGTCTGCCGTACGCACGTGTTTTGTTCGGTGCTACAGTCGTTTGACGCGACAACCTGCAGTTTCAAGTGATTTTTAATGTTGACTAAAGAAGGGCCTATAGTCCTCGTGGTACCGATTGAGAGATGTGAGGAGGTTGTAGTAGGCCATTGGGCAATGCTTTGTGTAGGATAATATGAACCCGCTATGAAGCTGGTAATCGCTGTTTAATGCGTAAGAGTTTGGTCGGTTAACGTC